TGAAACTTTTAAATTGCACAAGATTCCAACTATTTTTTTCAGAGTCGCATCGTTGAATAAATACATGCTTCTCATACAGGCAAAATATACTGGCTTGATCTGAACTTTTATATGAGTTCATTATTCATCAAAATTAGTTACTTCAATCTGTTTTATATGGCAGCTGACAAAACTGCTTAAATACAGGTATGTGTAGTTATGATGTCAGTTGAATTGAAAGTGTTTACACATTCAAATATCACTAAATTCTTGAATTTGTGTAAAATAGCTTTGACTAAATCTGGTTAGGATGAACAGACAGCATTTACTTATGAGTTTAATAAAGGAATATAATGTACACTAACTATCATGTTAAATTAAAATATGGTACTCAAGAACCTGTCCCTTAAAGCACCACACTTTTTATTTATTCATGGGATGTGGACTTCGTTGCTTAGGCCAGCATTTATTGCCCATCCCTAGTTGCTCTCGGGAAGGTGATGGTGAACTGCTGCCTTGGGCAACTGCACTCCATTTGCTGTAGATAGACCCGTAATGCCTTTAGGAAGGGAGTTCCAGAATATTGACTCTGTGACACTGAAGGAATGCCGATATACTTCCAAGCCCGGATGGTGTGCAGCTCGGAATGAAACTTGGAGTTGGTGGTATTCCATTGTATCTGCTGCCCTTGTCCTTCTTGATAGTAGTGTCATGGATTTGGAAAGTGCTGTCTCAGGAACCTTGCTGAATTTTTGGAGTGCATCTTGTATATGGTGCACACTGCTGCTACTGAGCATCAGTGATGGAGGGAATGATGTTTGTGGATGTGGTGCCAATCAAGTGGGCTGTTTTATCTTAGAGTGTCAAGCTTCTTGAGTGTTGATGGAGTGCACTCATCCAGAAAGTGAGGAGTATTCCATTTTACTTGTGACTTACACCTTGTAGATGTTGAATAAGCTTTGGGGAGTGCGTGTGTGTACACGTGTGTAGTTATAATGACAGTCAAATTTGGAGTGTTTTACACATGATTCGAACATTACTGAAGACTCGACGTCATGATGGTGAAGGATAAGAAGGGGAGACAGTGACATAGTGGTAATGTCACTTGACAGAAGGAAAAACTAATGTTCTGGCAGCTTGTTGAATGTAAATTTCATGAATGAACGCTAGTCTGAATACATGGTGACCATGAAACTTTCATCAATTGTTGTAAAACCCATCTGGTTCCCTTTCAGGGAAAGAAATCGAGCTTTCGTGTGACTCCAGATCCGTAGCAAGGTGTTTGACTCCTGTACGCTCCTGAAATAGTCTAGAAAGACAATCAGTTCAAGGGCAATTAGGGATGGGTGACAGAATGTAGAACAGTACAGCACAGGAACAGGCTCTTCACCCATCACACTTGTGCTGACCATGATGCCATTCTAAACTTTGGGGTGGCACAGTGGTTAGCTTTGCTGCCTCACAGCACCAGGGACCCAGGTTCGATTCCAACCTCAGGCAACTTTCTGTGTGGAGTTGACCAAATCTCCCCATGGCTGTGTGGGTTTCCTCCGGGTGCTGCAGTTTCCTCCCACAGTCCAAAGATGCGCAAGTTAGGTGGATTGGCTGGACTAAATTGCCCATAGTGTCTAGGGTGGGAAATGCAGAGATAAGGTAGGGGGTGAGTCTGGGTCAGATGCTCTTCAGAGGGTTGGTGTGGACTTGATGGGCCAAATGGCTTGTTTCCACACTGGAAGATTATCGTAGAATCCCATGTGACTGCATGTGGTCAGTATCCCTCTATTTCCTGCCTGTTCATTTGTCTGTCTAAATACCTCTTAAACATTGCTGTCATATCTCCTTCTACCACCTCCCCTGGCAATGTGTTCCAGGCATCTACCACCTTCTGTGTAAACAACTTGCCTCGCACATATCCTTTAAACTTTCCCCCTCACACTTTAAACCTACGTCCCTAGTATTTCATACTTCCATCCTAGGAAAAAGGCTGTGACTATCCATTCTATCCATATCTCTCGTAATTTTACAAACTTCTACCAAGTCACTCCTCAGCTTCTGGTGAGCAAAAGTTTGTACAAACTCTCCTTAATGCAAATACACTCTAATCCAGGCAACATCCTGTTAAACCTCTTTTGCACCCTGTCCAAAGCCTTCACATCTTTCCTATAGTATGGCAACCAGGACTGCACACAATACTCTAAATGTGACCTAACTAAAGTTTGATTCAGCTGCAACATGACTTACCAAATTTTATATTCATTGCCCTGACCAATGAAGGTAAGCATGCTGTATGCCTTCTTTACCACAATATCCACTTGTGTTGCCACTTTTGGGGAGCTATGGTCTTGCACCACAAGATCCCTCTGTATACCAACACTCTTAAACCTTCTGCCTTTTACTGTATACTTTCCTCTTGCATTTGACCTCCAAAATGCATCCCCTCTCAGTTATCTGGATTAAAATCCAATTGCCATTTCTTTACCCAACTTTCCATCTGATATATATCCCGCTGTATCCTTTGACAACCTTCCTCACCATCCACAACTCCTCTAATTTTCGTGTCACCTGCAAACTTGATAATCAGACCACCTACTTTTTCATCCAAATCATTTATTTATATTACAGAAAACAGACGTCCCAGCACTGATCCTTACAGAACACCACTGATCACAAACATCCAGTCAGAAAAACACCCTTCAGCAACAACCCTCTGACTTCAATGACCAAGCTATTTTGTATCCAACTTCACAACTCAAATGTGACTTAATCCTCTGGACCAGTCTATCATGAGGTACCTTGTCAAATGTTTTAGCAAAGTCCATGTAGCCAAAATCCACTGCTCTATCCTCATCAATCATCATTGTTAGTTCCTCAAAAAACTCCATCGATTTTGTAAGACAAGGCCTCCCTGCAGATGTTATTGCTGACTATCCCTAATAAGTCGATTATTTTCCAAATGTGAGTAAATCCCATCCCTAAGTATCTTCTCCAGTAATTTCCCTGCCACTGATGTAAGGCTCACTGGCCTATCATTTCCTGGATTATCCCTGTTGCCCTTCTTAAACAAAGGACCAACATTGGCTATTCTCCAGAGATAGTAAGATCTGCCGATGCTGGAGTCAGAGATAACATGTGGAGCTGGAGGAATACAGCAAGCCACACAGTATCAGAGGAGTAGGAAAGTTGACGTTTCGAGTTGGGACCCTACACTTGAAGGGTCCCAACCCGAAACGTCAACTTTCCTACTTCTCTGATGCTGCCTGGCCTGCTGTGTTCCTCCAGCTCCACATTGGCTATTCTCCAGTTGTTTTTGACCTCGCCAGTGGCTAAAGAGGATACAAAGATCTCTGTCAAGACCCAGCAATCTCCTTCAAGCCCTGAGCACTTATCTACCTGAGTATTTTTCAAGGCACCCAACATCACCATTTCCTTAATATTAACGTGCTCCAGAATATCAACATACCGCTTTCTCATCTTACCGTCATCCATGCCCTTCTCCTTGGTGAATACCAATGTGAAGTATTTATTAAGGACCTCACCCACTTTCTCTAGCTCCACATACCAATTCCCTCCTTTCCCTAGTTATCCTCTTGCTCCTAATATACATATAAAATGCTTCAGGATTCTCCTTAATCCTACTTGCCAAGAACATTTCATGGTCCTTTTCTTATGATCACTGTTCCCAAAATGTTCCCTCTCTGAAACGTCAATCACCTGGCCAGGCTCATTCCCCCATACAAGGTCTAGAACCAACAAATCTGCCTGGATACGCCCAACAAATTCTGCCCCATCTGAACCCTCGGCACTAAGGGAGTCCCAGTCAATATTTTGGAAGTTAAAGTCACCCGCTACAACACCCCTGTTGCTTTTACGTCTTTCCATGGTCTGCCACCATATCTTTTCCTGTATCTGATACTGGCTATTAGGCGGCCTATAGTATAATGCCACCATCGTGATTGCACCTTTCATATTCTTGAGTTCAGCCTCACTAGATGAGTCCTCCAAGATGTCTGCCCTTGGTGCAGCTGTGGCATTCTTCTTAATTGGCAATAGAACTCTCCTACCCTTTTTACATCCCTGTCTATCTCGCCTGAAATATTGAAACCCCAAAGCATTTGAGCCGTCAGTCCTGCCCTTCCCTCAACCAAGTTTCTGTGATGGCTACAATTTCCTAGTTCCATGTTCTAATCAAGGCTCATCTGCCTTACCTGCTATACACTTTGTCTTGCCAGCAATATGTACTTCACATCAAAGAATAATGAAAAAGTGAGAACTGGAGCCAATCATTACACATTTTTATGAAAATATATTTACAAAATATATATGTAACTGCCTCATAAGGGAGTGATCTGAATTCCTAATCAACATGATCAGAGATGTTATTACAGATCTCTGGAGCAGATGGGACTTGAATCTGGGCCTCTAAGCTCATGGTTAGGGACACTACCACAGCCCCACAGGACCCTCCACTATTAAATACCATTTGTTTTTAATCAACATGCTCAGACCCATTATTATACCCTTCTGGTACAGCTAGGACTTGAACCCAGCTCTCCCATTCCGAAAGTGAGGACACTACCACTGCCACATGAATCCCTACTATCAAATATTACTGAAATACAATTAACACACAACACCTTGAGTGGTGGAAGCCAGTTACTTGAAATAAGTAACCCACCCAAATCTGTTCAACAGGTTTTCTTTGCCTTCTGGTGTGTGAAAGCATAAGTGAGACATGCACAATTTAGTAGCCAGCTGGACAATATTTGGGGAGACATTTTAGCTGGACTAATATAGTCAGTTGAAAGAAAGGACAAAAGCAGTTGGACAAAATTGATTACTTATGAAATAATGCTGTCAGTTTTGCAATAGATGTGAATAAACAAAGTTATCTTAGTGTTTCTGCACTGGAATGTTTTTTAAAGCCCATGCAGCTTATAAAATGAAAAGTATTTCCTGGTTTCTCAAATCTGTTTCAGAAAGTATGTTGTATGAACACAACTGATGTTGACTTCTTTTTGCAGTTGGCCAAGTGCATTATCCCAAAACTTTAGACACACTCTCATTTGATGATGACAGCAGTGACGCCTTATCTCCAGAGCAGCCAGGGAGCCAGGAGTCACAAAACTCAGCTCCTTCTCCAGGAGAAACCAAAGTGACAGAATCATCCTCCTCCTCGTCTTCACCTGTACCAAACACTATTATTCAGGTGAGTGCTGTGGAAACAAAGGGTGATTCGTTAGCAGTCTGAATGTTTACATATAGGAAATTGCTGTCTTTATATTAAATCTTACTTTTAAACATCTAAGGTTTAGCTAAAGATGACTTTCTCTAGAAAAACTACTCTTACATGTGCTCTGACCATTGCTGGTAGGCACATGATTTTTGGCACTCAAATGCGACTTGAAAGTAAAATTTCTGAGATTTATTAAGACTGCAAGCAGCAAAGTTCTGATAAAGGAGTTACTGGTCTTAATGTTACTGAACTAAAAGCAAGTTACTGCAGGTACTGGAACACTGAAATAAAAACAGAAAATGCTGAAATTACCCTGAAGATCAGACAGCATCTGTAGAGAGAGAAACAGAGCTGGTGTTTTAGGTCGATAGGATGTCATCGGAACGGGAAAATGCTAAAAATATAACAGCTCTTGCGTAATTCCAAGGGCAGACTTGGGTGAAAGGCCAATTCAAAGGGTCTGTGATGGACTGAGACTGGAGAGAATAAACTACACAAGGGCACTGTTACAAGATGCAAGGTGATGGTCATGAGACAAATGAGACAAAAGATGGGTCTGGGAAGGCATAACTGGAAATAGTAAAATTATGGCCAATGGCTTCAATCCAAAAACATGAAGACAAGGCTGTGAACTGAAATTATTAAAATCATTAAATAAAAACTGAAAGAACTGCGTACGCTGTAAATCATAAACAAAAACAGAATTTGCTGGAAAAGCTCAGCAGGTCTGGCAGCATCTGAGAAGAGAAATGAAAGTTAACGTTTCGGGTCCGGTGATGCCTTGAGGAAGGGTCACCAGACCTGAAACGTTAACTCTGATTCCAGCAACCTCTGTTTTTGTTATTGAAATCATTGTTGCTTTCTGGAAGACTATACCGTTCCTAATTGAAAGATGAGATGCTGTTCCTTGAACTTAGTTAGAATGATGATGGAAGCCTTTTTTATATTTTCTTAATCAGCCTGTTCAGACAAGTTACTACATGCCATTGGAGCAGTTGGAACTTGAACCCAGGTCTCCTGGCTCAAAGATAGGGACATTACCAGTGTGCCACAAGAACTTTTTAAGAAGTTTTTAATTTTTTATTTTACCTGTTTTTCTTTTATTTAAAACCTATTTTTCTAATCGACCTGTTTAGAGATGTTATTAACCACCTCTCGAGCAGGTGGGATTTGAACACAGTTTTCTCAGTTCAGGTTTAGGGACACTACTACTGCGCCACAAGAGGACCTTTTTAAAGTGTTTACAACTCCTGGTGTTTATTATCTTCAGTTGCAAGAGGCCTGGTTGTTGGTGCCTCCATTAATAATAGGATGACAGCTCAGGTTTTAAAATGGAAACAATAGCTCTTTTTGCAAGTTAATTGAAGGTTAATTTATCATTTAGAATCTTAGAATCATAGAAATCCCTACAGTGTGGAAACAGGCCATTCAGCCCAAAAAGTCCACATTACCCCTCTGAAGAGCATCCCGCCCAGACCCATCCCCCTACCCCTGATTTCCCATGTCTAACCCACCTAACCTAAACATCCCTGGGTATGATGGGCAATTTAGCACAGCCAATCCACCTAGCCTGCACATCTTTGGACTGTGGAAGGAAACCGGAGCACCCGGAGGAAACCCACGCAGACACTGGGAGAATGTGCAAACTCCACACAGACAGTCGCCCGAAGCTGGAATCAAACCCAGGTCCCTGGTGCTGTGAGGCAGTAGTGCTAACCACTGAGCCATCGTGCACCCAATTTAGTTAATTAACATGAAACTACTTTGTTCAAAAAGTCAAATTGGATTTATGCTGTCCAGATGTTAGCTGATGTTTGTGCAGACAATGTGTGATTAATGGTTTACAAGTTAGAGAGCCCAGCTTATCTCTCTCCACGTCATGTGACACTGTACAAACCGTAGCAATCGTGATCTTCAATGCCAAAGAAGTAGTTGAGGGAGGCAGATCAAAGTCCTTGAAGCTGTTACTGATGATGTTAGTAGTTAGTGCCTCAACATGAGCTCTAGTCCCCAGTTAGTTGTGACTGGGGTAGGTGGTGTAGAAGTTTAATAATACTTTGAGTGTTCAATTTCATCATTCCTCCTATGCAACAAAGTTTTAGAGCAGTTCTGAAGAAATGTCACTGGACTCAAAACGTTAACACAGCTTTTCCTCCACAAATGCTGCCAGATCTGCTGAGTTTCTTGAGTAATTTCTGCTTTTGTTTAAGATTTAGAGCAGATTGTCCTTCATCAACCCTAAACTGCCTTTTTTCTTTCATAGTTCATGTAATTCTGATACAGCAGCTGGCTATTATTAGTTTGCAGAACATTCCTAAAATTGATTTGATAATTCTCTAACCAGCTGAAACTACTTGCATATTTTTTGACGTGGTTAAAGGATTTTTTCCAAAAGCCTTTTGAATTTCACCTTACACCATACGCACATTCTCTCTCTCACATGCATAGAATGTTGCATGGTTCCAAGAATATATTTCGAATCTTTCCTACAAAGAGGTCTGTCACTTAATATTTTGTCACGTAATATTAGTTTGTGGTGCTAACTGCAGATGCTAAACATTTGGAATGATGTCATTACACAAATAGATTTTTAATGCTATGTTCATTCTTAAAACATCCAAGATTAAAATAGATGAATGTTTGTATAAGTTCAGAAGCAAATAGCCATTTTTCACTTAACACCCACGTTGATTTCAGAGTTATCTGTTGGAGTGTCTGGAGTGCTTTGTTTACTTGGGGTTAAGCAGCTGTGTTTATTTATTAATTCACAAGGTGTTAATACTCAGTTATTCTTACCTTTTTAAAATTGCTCTTTATACTTAACTTGGTCAGATCCTTCTAACTCTGCAAATCTAATCTTTCAATAACACAAACGGAGAGTGAGATGTGATTGAAATCAATCCCTTTAGTAGCTGACAACTGGGAGAGACCGATACTGCTCTCCTGCTTGAGTGAGAGCTAGAACTTTAGGGCTTTAAAAATTTCCCCGACTTGGTATCACAATAGCATCTGTGTGACAGGAAGAATCACGAACCTAGAGGAGACTTACTAGCAGGCATTCACTAAACCTGGAGAGAGGGAAACACATAACTAATAAGGAGCTGAAACATATCAATGAGGTCAGAAAAAGCCACAAGGTAACTGCTGAATAAGCTAATGTTGGTAGCTCTTTTCAGCCTGAAATGAATCCTTTCTCTGATATAATGGGTAGCTCTGAAAAGAACATTTTGGCTTTAAATACCTCCTCCTTCATCTTTTTTGTTGATGCTGCACACAGCATTGGGGATAACCCTGGTTTTGCTGTTCCCTGCCAATGTCACAATCTCAGTGGTGAGGTAGATAACTTGAGTACAGAAGCCAGATAGAGGCAATCCAGCCTTGACATTTCCAGTACTGTAATCCTTAAAATAGCCATTATTATATGGTAATCAAATTGTATTGTTTTGCTTGAACAAACCCCATATATAAAATCTGTAATGTGAATGAGCATTTTTTGTCATTAGACCAAAAGGCATTGGAGCAGAAGTCAGCCAGTCAACCCATTGAGTGTGCTCTGCCATTCATTGAGATCATGGAAAATATGACAATCCTGAACTCCACCTTCCTGCCTTTATCCAGAACCCTTGATTTTCTAAATGATTAGAAATCTATCTATCTCAGCCTTGAATATACTCAATGACCTTGCCTTGACGACCCTCTATTATAAAGAATTCCAGCAATTCACTATCCTCTGAGTGAAAACCAGTCTCCTTGTCTGCCTTGAATGGGTGACCCCTTATTCTGAGATTATGTCCTGTGGTCCTGGATTCTCCCAAAGAGAAAACGACCTCCTACGTCCACCCTATCAAGCCTCCTAAGAATCGTATATGTTTCCATAAGGTCTCCTTTCATTCTTCTAAACTACAATAAATACAGGTCCAACTCATTTTCTCCTCTCAATAAAATCCCTCTATACCTGGGATCAATGTAGTGAACTTTCTCTGGACTGTCTCCAATGCCAGTACCCCTTTCCTTAGATAAGGGGACCAAAACGGTTCACTGTATTCCAGCTTTAGTTAGTGCCTAGTTTTAGCAAGGCCTCTCTATTTATACTTTATTCCTTTTGAAATAAAGGCCAACATTCCATTTGCCCTCTATATTACCTGCTGAATTTCATGCTAGCTTTTTGTGATTCATGCACAATGACCCGTGTGCTGCAACTTTCTGCACTCTTGCCCATTTAAATAAATTCTGCTGTTCTTCCTGCCAAAGTGCATAACCTCATTTTCCACATTATTGCTCCATCTCCCACGTTTTTGCCCCTCAGTAAACCTGTTTGTATCTTTCTGTAGTTTCTTTGTTCACCCTCCCAACTTGCCTTCCCACCTATTTTTGTGTCATCTCCAAACCTGGCTAAAGTACATTCACTTTCCTCGTCCAAGTCGTTAATACACATTATAAATTAATGTGGCTGCAACACTGATGTCTGTGGCACTGCAGTGGTTGGTTTTCTATCCTGAAAATGTCCCCTTTACACCAACTCTGTCTTCTATTAGTTAGCCAGTCTTCTGTCAATGCTGATATACTATCCCCAATACTAAGGGCTCTTATTAAGTAGCCTTATCCTTGTTGAATGCCTTCTGAAAATCCAAATATATTACATTTACTGGTTTCCCTTTATCTACCCTGTTTGCTACTTCCTCAAAGAAGTGCAATAAATTTGTCAGGCATGAATTCTCCTTCATGAAGCCATGCTGACTCTGCTTGACTATATTATGTATTGCTAAATGCTTACTATTACTGGGGAGGCAATGGCCTGGTGGTATAATCACTAGACTATTCATCCAGAAACTCAGCAAATGTTCTGGGGCCCCAGTTTCCAATCCCACCATGGCAGATAGTTGAATTTGAATTCAATAAAGAATCTGGAATTAAGAGTATAATGATGACCACGAAACCATTGTTGATTGTTGGAAAAAATTCATATAGTTCAT